ACATTTTGCCAACTTTTTCGCAATCTGTTCTCAATCACAAAGAATGCAAAAGAATGCAAAAAAAGCATAGAATATAGAAAATTAGATAATATATATAGTATCTTAGATGTTCATATAGCTAACCGAGATATTTTAACTCGACATTGCCATTAACTGCATCGATCATTAGTCACCATATTTCATGTATTATATTATTGAGCACAACTTAGAAATAATAACTGTAACAATATCCTGTATTGTTATTATATAATTCGCGACGATCTTGTTTCATATGACGTTCAAAGCGTTCGATAAATTCTGTCTCTATTTTTTCTTTAATTATACAATTATAAAATGTATTCTTAGTTGCATTAGGTATGATGCATTTAATTACAAATTTAAATAACTAGAAACTAAAATTAGTTATCTAAAATATAAGTCATTGTATATAAAACGTGGATCTTTAAAAGCTTTACGGTACAGTCTCGCAAAGCAAATGTTTTACGATAACCAAATATTATGTGTTAATATGATTTTTTTGCAAAACAATTTTTTTGTTTATTTTTCATGAAATGATATTATGATATTTGCAATTTTTAAAGTTACAATGAATTTGCGAAAATGTGAATGAAAAACAGAAAGTTTGTATAGCATTCCTTTTCATGACTTCAGTGGAATAATATTACAAAAATATATAATGTAAAAATATTTCTGATTTTTAAAAGAAAATATCGGAAAGCTCATAATTCAAATTGTTATCATTTTTAGAGCACTTAAAAATTCAAATTTTCTTGATTTTAAAATTATGGATAGAGAATGTACACTTCAGAGTGCGTACGTGAACATCCAAACGTACGCAGTTTTCTCCATAGCAAAGACAGAGAAAGAAAGAGAAAAAAGGAAAAAAGTTTGCTTAAAGTTATTGAATATTCTTTCAACATATTTGCTATATATATCATACATATAGTAGCTAATACAGCGAATATTATCGCAGTTTTTTCGCTCAATGTAGAAATATCTTTGTAACAAAAATGTCAAAAATAATTATTATTTATTATTTTCTTATATTATAGACGAATATATTACGTTACACAGTTAAAAAACGTATCATTACGATAACCCCTATAAAATATCGGAAGCCTAAGACAATCTTATCTAAACACGGACTTCGATCGTGGTCGATAATTAATGCAGAAACAAATATAAAATTTTTATGTGCGAAGTTCATCACACATAAGTTTACACATATGTTATGGCTTTTATCGCGGCAGGGAAAATCTGTCATTTCCATCAAGATATGCAAATCTATTAGATGAACGATTTAATCGAAAATCATTATTTTGTTAACTGTGCAGAGTCATTGATAAAACCAATTATCGATTATAACCGTGATGTTATTATCAACAGATGTATGTCGTTTATTGTAAGAAAAAATTATTTCGTTTTATGTTTGTAGACAAAATTGAATTTTTTCAGACAAAAATTGCTTTTTTTAGTATTTTACGAAAAGTTTAATATTTTACGAATGTTATGTGGAAAATCATATATGTGGAAAAAAATAAAAATAAAATATAATATAAATACATAACAAAAATTCTTTTTCTAAAAGAAAATTTATATATGAGAGAATTTATATATACAAGAAAATTTATATCATTACATATGAAAAATAACTTTTTTTTAAATACTAACGTTATACGTTACGTTAATGTTATACTAACTTTATACGTTTTCTCATTGCATATACAACATATAAATATACACAATGCTTTCAATACAAAACACATTATTCCTGTTAGAAAGGAAATTGTCATCAGAAAATACCTTGAAAAAGATATCGAAAGGTAACGTAGAAAAAAATAAAATTATTTATCAGATGATCGAACGATTTTCCAAATTTTAATGTAACATTTCACAAATATCTAGAACTATACGCACTTTTTCGAACAATATATGTATTCTTTTTGAATCAGAAAAGAACGTAAATATTTTTGACCTTTTCTTTTTTTTCATAAAAACTTTCTTTTTTGGTGCAATTCAAGCAAATTTGAATGTGTAATGGGATGATATCAAAGGAATACCAATGGGATGATACCAATAATAAATTTATTTTTGTACTAAGCAGGAACGGCATCAGT